TGTGTGTGTGTGTGTGTGTGTGTGTGTGACATGGACGCAGCTCCCAGCTTGTTTGGAGTCATTTGATATAACCTAACCCATTTCCGGCACAACAATATGGTCCAAGGTGCCAAGGACAGTTTTATGTTGCTGTATTTCTGTCCTGCATTGACTCACTCACAATGGACGTGGGCGCTCTATTTGTACAACTCTATTTTAAAGTCTGAATAAAACAAGCACAAACCACCTCCACTTTCCAACAACCTTAAGATTACTCTTTGACTCATAAAGCAAGGCACGTTCTGCCCACAAACTCACATCCCCAGGTCACCCCACTGTTAAAATACTGAATATCTCTCTGCTCTGAAAGTCTCTTTGTTTCCTCTGCACTGAAAACACCATCACCACGTAACGAAAGGGCTCCAACACGAGAAGCTTGTCAGTGTCGATTAGCGGGGACAATAGGCTGTTGAGGAAATATGTTTTTCAATGAAGCCTAGTAACCGTGGTGAATGAGTGTCTGGCAACCCAGGAGTTTCTCACTACGGACCATTGTGGAGGTAGAATGATGTGTAATTAATTGAATTTGATGGCACAAATAAACAAGAAGTGGATTCGGTTCAATTTAAAAACTAACCTGCTGTAAATAAGCTGTTTGAATACAACCATGTAAAGGTCTGGTAATTTCACTTAAATCATTTAAACATCAACTCTACCAGATTTTTTCCCTCCATGTTTTCATCTCTGTCCATTTGTTTTTTGGTTTATATTTAGATGATGCAGAAATGACTGGATGGATTACCACGAAATGTTGTGGAAAGATGAAGTCTGCGTCAGCGTTTTAGTTGTTTTCTATTAAAATAGCACATGGATCTTGATGAAAAGAATCTGACATGTTTAGGGGACTGATATTTATGAGTGTGTGCAATTTGTTGCAGATCCAATTGAAATTCAGGATCTGGTGATTTGGTTATGTAAAACTATTGGGCCTTGGCGGAGCAATGAACTCTCTCTTTTTCCAAGAAATGATTTGGCGAAAAAGTCAGGAATTCAACACAGCACATGAGGAAATGTGTTCATTAGATTCCTCTCAGGTTTCCAAAATGTCTCAGACACCCATAGGGAGTCCACCGCTGAGCTTGATAATATATAAACTATTTTTTGAGTGAGGTGTCATTGCATCAACATCTGCTTTCAACATTTCGCTGGTATACTCACCCTTGCAGGTGAAACACTTTATGTGTAAGTGACTGTTCTGGACTCGCAGCACTTCCCCTTTGCACTGTTGCCCACATCTGAAGCACTCGATCTCCCGCTTCCCCACTGGAGGACTTGGGTCGCAGCCATCCGGAGGGCGCAGCACTGCAGGGGTGGAAATGGAATTAGTCAAATGAATAATCAATACAAAGACAACCACGTGGTGGCATGACGGGCATCGAATCAGGGGATTACCAAAGTTAATAAGATTTGGCAACTAGGTAATATAATTTCCTGCAGAAAATTTCATAATAATGATAATCCATCTGATAGTTGTTAAGATATTTTGGTCTGGACCAAAAAGTAAACACATTTCTCTTTGTGTCCAAACAGTGTAGGTTTACTGTTTATCAGTCCCACTGTGTCCTTCCAGTTCTTCCAACTGAACATAATGTGCATAATGTTTTGGCACAGAAACACACACACACTCTCACACACACACACACACACACACACACACACACGTACACAAATAATATATATACACACAGGGTCACAATCACGTATACATGTTTTAATCCAAGTGATTACAACCTCACAAAAACAGACCTCCTTCTCCTTCAATCTCATTCATGTTTGTGTGGCAACAGAAGTGGTGGATGCCTGTACAATCTAATCATGGCCCACTTGAAAGGTCCTGAATGTGATTAGCAGCGGAGAGAGAGGAAAGAATGTGGCACGGTGTAAGAGGTCCGCCTCCCATGTGTGTGCACACAAATACACAAGTACACGCAAGAATTTAAACTTATCTTTTTTTCCCATAGACATTGAGCTAAATAAAAGTCCCAAAAGTGATCAGGATAATTCCCTTAAAGGGTAAATAACAGCTGGACAAAGATTCTAAATAATAATAAGATCTGGATGAACTTATTAAGATTTTAAATCTTGTAAAAGTTGGAAGAGGAAATGTTTTCAGAGCTGTTCTGGTTACATAACTCAGCCTCGTGAACACCAAGAAAATTGAGTCACGCACCATCGGTATGTGGCCCGAGTCTGCCCCACTACAGGAGATTTGTTACTATAGTAACAAGCATGTACTAACACACTAGATGAAGAGTGCATGTCTCCCTGTGTAGTGTTCACTGATAACCTTCCATGAGCCGTCTGACTGCAATGTAAACTGTGTTAGTGATGACTTTTTATGTGACTGAGGCCGATAATCCCCAGAACAACAACTCAAAGCTTCAGAACAGCCTGGTGATTTTAATAAAGGCCTCACATGTAATGCAACACACAATTTATTGTAACCTGAGCAAACGAGTTGGTTTCACTGACAGAGAAATAATAATTAAATAGTAATAAATGATACAAAAATAATACCATTGTACTTTGCATTTTATTACTGGTAGTGGAAATCTTGTACACATCTGTACTTTGTAACTCGCCATCAATCCAATTTATTTATATAGCGCCTTTCGTGCGGGTTAGTGGATTCACATATGATGATAACAATGACAATAAAAAAATAAACGCATGATCATGTTTGGCACAGGTGCATTTAAAGCTGACATTCT